CGAATCTGAAATTGTCTATCTTTTAAGATATAAACAGACGCAAACGGCCCCTGAAACCAAAATCATGAAGATCTTCTAAAATGCCATACTTCCATGTGGTATCATATGCCTTTTCGAGATCGAAAAAGATAGATCATAGGAAGTATGATCGGGAATATCCATAATATCCGATCCCACTGTCCACGTCCATTTTCACGTACGATATCTCCAACAGCTCGAGCCGTAAATGATAAAACCGCGATGACAGTACGGCGATCAAAATCACGTGACCAGCCGGATAACCAATGAACGTCCTACGCCGGACAATCCCGTTGCAGTTCCGGGTCAATGACCCGCATTCAAACACGGTAACTTTGATTTATATAACATCGGTTTGCGGAATTAAACAGTAATGACCTATTCCAGGGAATACCCAATAAAATTCAAATTTCCAAATACGCGGATGATGTAGCCCTCTCGATCCGCACCAGAAGCATATATATGGCCACAAAATTACTGCAGAATGCATTAAATAAAATTCAAATATGGGCTTTAAATGGGATTTCACATTAAATGCCAAAAAAACCTACAGTGATAGTATTCAAACACAGAAATATACGTGCAAATACCCCAAACTACAACTAAACAAAAAAACAATACAATTCCAAAAAGAAACTAAGTTTCTTGGACTAATTTTGGATGAACACCTCACCTGAGGAGCTCACATTAAAAACCTAACAAATAGATGCACTAAAGACCTAAACACACTACGCTGCCTGACAGGTTCCCTCTGGGGGTGAGGGTGGGGGTGGTTGTCGGGGCTCCAAGGAGACACTTCTATCACTTTACTTATCAATAATTAGATCAGAAATAGACTATGGATGCGAAATATACAACACCTCCAACTCCTCATTAAGCAATAAACTAAACTCAATTCAATACCAAGCACTAAAGATAATTACACGCACTCAGCATGGCACGCCGCGCATATCTCTACAGGCACTAACAGGCGAAATACCCCTGGACTTCTGAACATCTAACAATAAATTACTGGACCTCAACTCAACAAAACCAACAAATCCTTAAAACTAACATAAGCCCCAGACGTAGAGGGGAATTCCCCTACTTAAATAATATTTTATGTGATTTGGTATAACGCGTCTTGATACATTTCCTACACCCTAATGCAGGAATGTGATGACATTACTTCAAAATTATTGCGAAAACGTATACATTTTAAAAAAACAATCGGTTAGAAGCGGTCCCTAGTTAAGTGACTCACAACAACCAGCGTCACGCTGTAGGTCGTACCCGCTTAACATGTACCTAACATGTAACACGTGCACTTTAACAACAACTCTCCATTACTTGGGATAAACTATTATCATAAGGTGATACAATCAGGTGAGTAGTGGACAGATTATTACAATGATTACATGAAGACTTGTTGACTAATAATATAAGTGTGACAAAGTGTTTTGTTTATTATTGCTGAATATATTGGGAGAATGTTGAATTATAAGAAATATAGGTTTGAAGGTGTTGATGTGCTCTTTACTTTCCTCTGGCTGTAATCGTATCGTCCGTAGCCGTGGATATATATTTGCTTTTCACGCTGAATTCTGCCTTTTCCGGTCTGCTAGTTAATGTTGAAAAGTCAGACGAAGAGGATCTCTTTATTACACAGAGTCGGACCTCTGTCCCCCAAAATGACAGTATCAGTGAGAATCTGGGATTCGAATCCACGATCACATCCTGTCAGGATCAAGGCTCTGCACAACGAATTTGGCGCATTTGAAGTAATCACCGAATCTTCAGAGAATTTACATAACCAGTGGAACAGCGTGGTCATGTGTTTGTTTTCCATAGTCTGGCTGTATAGTTGTAGTTGTTCCTGCTGACAAGGCCTCAGTATAATAACCTTTGTTAGCATCACGGCAAAAATCGTTTGATCAAAGAACCTGGAATAAGTGACAAGTATGTTAACTGAGGAAGAAATCTGCCAAACTACGCATCAGTACCATCAACTTTTGGATTGACTCTAAAATCTGAAGCCAAGTCAGTTTCCCATTTGTAATGGATTCCAAACTAAAGTACTGTCGGAAATGCTAGAAAACTGCTTTTTGCCTGTTAAAAAAGGATTTTTTTTTTCGCAGACTGTTGTTATTGAAATATCAAGACAAATTCGAACGAAAGCAGGAAGTACACATTTATTAAGTCCAATGATGGCAGTCTGAAACGAACTATAGAAATATGTGCACGTGACTCCGTTATAATGATAATAATGTTGTCTTCATAAAACATCTAATCCACGCACAAAAATCATTTTGAGAAAATTTTAGATGTGCATCTTCTAAAATGACAAAATGACGCTTCGTTTGTTTTGTTAATAATGCTCCTATGCTGCACACGATAAGGAGTCTGTACTTGGAAATGTATACAAGTTCTTTACACTTTTGAGAGATAGAGGGAAACCATTAATTAATTTAGATAGGGTGAATTACCGAAATGCCCAAGCTATGGGGTTTTCAATTCATACCATCAAGTCTACGATATTGTCAACGCGCATGTTGACGGAGAATTGGCTCTTGGGGGGAATAAAGGATAAAATCGGCATCACTGTCCCGGAAGATTTTATGCACAACATATAAACAATAAACAGCAAATACACAGTGAGAGGTATACCTGCTCTGACAAACATAAACCCAGCGATGAGGGACCTTCCAGCTCAGGTATACATGAGGTGAGCGGAGCTCCAACTCAACCTCAGGTCGTTTCCTACGAGCGGCACATCCTGCTCGAGGTCGTCCCTACACCAGCACTCGGAATACAAAGATGACTAACAGTACTTACTTACTTAAATTAGGAATTTAACGTGCGCTTTCCGACATATGCGTATTTCGCGCACGGGCCCGCCAGGCCATTTAGTGTTTGGTCGAAAAGGGTATGTCTGAAAAGGTGAGGCAACCTAGGTGGGGCTTTTTAGGATTGCTTCCTTAATTTGGAGAACAAATTTGGAATTTTGAAATATGCCATGCAAAAGGTGGAGAGGGGGGGGGGGGGGGGGGGGGTTACTAAAAGGAGTTTTATAGGTTACTAACGTTTACTAGTGATAAAGCATATATAGTAATGAACAACAATGGACAGACAATGACGTTGCTCTGGACATGGGGCATATGGGCGTGATGAGCGACACGGCTCAGGGGATGATCAATTAAGGCAATACATGTCATCCTATAAATAACAGTAATTAACGGGAAGTGATATGGTAGCCCAGGTTGGCTGACAGTCAATATACAATGATTAACAACGGGGATTAGCGTCTTATAAATAATGGCAATTAAGTTATGGAGACAAATCAAATGTTCTTCAGACAATGGTTGTCCCAAATCAGTCGCTATGACAGTATGATAAGAAAACAAAACAGGTATATGGGTGGTCTCAAAAACAAAACTTGGACGTAAAATGATATTAGACAGCTTTGATACAGGGTTCTCAGGCGTATAGTGTACGAGCTTTATGAGCAGAAGGTAACCCCTGACTTGTAGTACAATTTGGGAGTAATTAAAGATACAATTAATGTTTCCCGGACTGCACTAACTAATGCTGTCCGAAAGATGGGATTTCGATACACTGCGCGTGGCGATGACCGATCCATCCTGTCTATGAGGTCACATTATCTCCGAACCATTCATAACTATCACAGTCAGGGCGTCCAGATAATATACATTGATTAATCATTCCACTGACTACATATGGCTATCGGCAGATGGACAAAAAACACCCATGGTACCAGCAGCTAAAGGTAATCGTGTCATTGTTTTGCACGCTGCAACCCATGATATTGGGCTTATTGATGGATGTGTGCTAGTTTTCGAGGCGAAAAAGAAATTTCGTAAGGAAATTATAGGCTGGTTGGAACTTCAGCTATTGCCCATTTTAAACAACGTCAGTGTCATTGTCATGGATAACGCCAGTTTATATAACGTCCGACCGCCTCCGTGGTCTTGTGGTAGAGCGTCCGCCCGGAGAGCGGAAGGTCCAGGGTTCGATCCCGGGCCGCGTCATACAAAAAGACGTTAAAAGATTGTACTTGTTGTTACCCTGTCTGGCGCTCGGCATTAAGGGGCTAAAACAAGGACTGGTCGGCTCGGAGTCAGTATACTGTGTCTGAGTGGGGTATTCATGTTAAACTGCGGCATGGTATCTCAGTGAGCTAGCACTATAAATCGGCATCAGTCCGGACTAGTACAAGCAGCCACACACACACATACACGTGCATGCACGTCGCTATATAAGTGCAATAATCTTGGACGCGACGTTAAACCCAATTTCACCTCACCTCACCTTATATAACGTCCGGGAATCAGATACTGTCGCCCAAACCATGAGTAGTCTCTTATAAATTTTACCGATTCTTATATGTTATTCAAACGACATCAGTCACTTGACAGAGACTTCAAATGAGTAATATACATTTCATCCATAAAGACACCTCTGACATTTTTCTTTTTTTACCACGTGGAAGTATTCTTATGTACAGATGGCATGTTTCGTTCCATTCAATGTAAACTGTAATGGAAAACACTTCACACTCATTGTTCAGCCTCTTCATTAACAATAAGTCCTTACCATGCTACACACTCTAACTTTGTTTCATTTGGCAACATGGTGTATACACATACAATTAAAGAACAGATGGTTGTTTGCGTATATATGAATGTCAAGACTATGCTCGATCAATAATTTGATCTGATTTAATTGTAGTGTGCTAATTTAGTTTAGTTACGTGTATATTTTGATCGAGTCCAGTGATCTAAGATAGAAGTAGTCATTTTCAAACATACAACCGGGGATTTACTATAGTATGTCTTTAGATGACTGATTTCGGGCAGTATACCAGACATAACGGTAGATCAATACAGGTAATGTACTATTTATAATGTTGTAGCCATTTGCAACATGTCACATGTGTACATGATTGATACAGTACACAGTTCGAAGGAGACAAAAACAGAAGATAATTTATGGTACTTTATTTGTAGACGGATGCCGAATCAGTCTATTCTAAGCAGGTATCCAGAAAACTGCGACCACAGTCCTTGTCTTAATGGGGCGTTACGGTTGTCGAAGATCTTCTTGACGAAAACGTGGTCACCTCTGTTGACATGAAAGATAGCGCTCATGGCGGTGCTTGACCAGTGGTTGGGAATGGTTACAAATGCTTTCGGAGAACCCTGTGCAACCAGAGCGAAATCGGAGTTTCCTACACGAGTTGTTTGTAAAATTGTCCTGAACTGATAGTAACCTGAAAATATAAAGAATATCATATTGTTCCCTGTATCTAAATTTCAATATACCCTGTTACAATTTGAACACGCATAATGGAGTTTTCTTACAGCAGTTTAAGCGACACAATGTATTGAGATGTGAGGAAAAGTTGGGTTGATTTGATGTTGTAGGGTCCAAAGCCAAAACAGTGTTCTCAGAAACGTCGTTACCACAACAACACAATCAGACGATAAATTGACACACTTAGCACGTGGCTATATGTCACGGTTGGACCGACAAATATACTTTTATAATGACATCAACATGGATATTTGATGAAATAAATGTACCCGACCACTTTGCCTCATCATATCAAAATATACACGATATCTCATGGGAAAATGATGAGCAACAATTCTGGGTATAAAAAATCCCATTCTTACCTGATTCAGGGGCAACGAATACCCCAGATGTAGGGTTATACCCATGACCAATGTTTGCCTCAACGTTGCTAAATGGGATTATTCTGTTAACCCCAAAGTGAAAAGCTGCCATATTGTTCGACCTCTTTGTCAGAGTTGCCTTAAAGTACACCAAAGGAGCTGAAACGATATCAGAATGTGCATTTGCGAGTGAGTTGTCAGTGAGTTAGTATGGTTTAACATGGCCATGGTCAATATCAGGTGGGAGACACCACGAATGCCATTTAGGCATTGTGCCATTGGAAACACGAACCAATGTTTTCAGCATGTGGAGCGAATGCTTTTAGTAAAATATTGCCCAAACGGCCCATATATAAAAATATAAAGCATTAATTAAACACATCAAATCAAGTCAAAATATTATAACGTGATGCTGAACTTATATATGCCCTGAATTATTACAGAGCTTGTGTGTGAGTGCGTTGGCGAGGATCATTGATTATTACACAATACAAAGATGTTCAGCAATACTTTTTTTCCATATTGAAATGGAAAGGTAAAGTTAACTTAGGAAAGGTAAAGTAAAATCATGGCTCAGAGCAGTTCCAGCCTTTGGTGTCTGCATTTCTCAACTTTTGAGGTACAAGCTCTTACTATGAGGATGTGTCTCTTGCTCAAAAGTTGTTGATCAAGGTTACAACACACACTACTGCCCAGATCATTCCCCTTAAACACGTGCTTAAACGCGTGGCGCAAACTGTGTGCACCGGGTTGGTCACTCGTGTGGAACCAGTCCGCCACGCGTGTGACACGGTGTCACACGCATTGCGGAGGGAACAAACTTTTGACCAAACGTGAATCATGTTAAGCTGAAATTGTAGCTGGAAACAAGGAGAGTCATTTTGGATTTCCTAACGAAAAATGTTAAAACATGTTAAGCAAGGTACTTGCTGATGTCTTCTTTTGATATGTGGTTTTGCAGGAAAATGTGAATACTGTTGTGATCAATCACAATGTACAAGGCCTTGACAAGGTTTTATGGTAGAAATATGGAACACATTTCAAAATTTGACGCATCAGTAACAAGAACAATGTCCGATACCTTTCCCTAATTTTACTGGTATGGTACCATATGTTCCCTGTTGGTTTTTTTCCAGTCGAACAGGTGACTTGTCTTTGCAGTCGACGGGTGACACCAGTGGGGCAGGATTATAGCTCACCTTTTCGCGAACACCCGATATCCTCAATATTTAATTGTGATTCATAAACTCATGCTTCATATTCATATTTCATCTTCATTTAATTTGGTACTCATGAGACCACAGGCCTACAATACATTACAAACATTATGATGTAACAAGTTTACTAAAGTATAATAATTTGTAACATTGTATACTAAATAAACACAGACAGATTCTGAAGTGTATCATGGTTTGTACTGCTCAGCGAAGATGAAAATGTATTTGTTTGGATGAACACAAGACTAGTTACTTTGTTTGATGTATCGATTGCCTAACATTGTTAAAGCTAGACATACAAGGAGGAAGTGGTACTCATCTTCAACTGCATCTGAATTAACAGTTGCCAAATTCTCAGTTCTCTTTGAATATTTATAGTATATCTTCCTTTTTCAGTTAATAAGTCATCGAAAATGTGCTAAGCTTTTGCTAAATTCCTTTATATTCACTTCAGTTTTGTCCATATTTACCTGGGGGCAGGGATGGTCTAGTCGTCTAAGGCGTCGCGATTCGCTGTGCAGAGTTGCGTCCCTTGGGCACGCCAGAAACCTATGATTGTGTGTTCGAATCCCGGTTCGCCCCGATTATGTTTCAAGGTTTGTCAGCACTATACCAATGCTCGTGGGTTTCACCGAAGTGGTAACGGCTTAGACCTGCACCACTTCGGGCTTTCCTCCCACATTAAGCTTACACGTCGTGATATAACTGGAATACTGTTAAAAGCGGCGTTAAACCCAACTCACTCACACTCACCCATATTTAACTGTTCACAATAATTTTATTGTTTCTCAATTTGTTTCTGTAGTCAAATACTACTTGAAATTAACACAATATCATCTGCAAATCATAAAAGAAAGAAATGAACTATATACGGGTGTAATGGTACACCATTTGTGCAATTATTTTCAATTTGAGTTGCTAATTCATTTATAAGGAAATATAACAAAATGGGACTAAGTATACAGCCCCGTCTTACTCCGAGTTGTATGTCAAAGTATATATAGATATAGTATCTATATATAGATGTAACTTAATATATTACCATGTTATAGCTCATCCGCTAGTGTTTAAAAAGTCCATAACTTATTTCTTTGTACAGAGTCAAACGCTTTTGCAAAGTCTACAAAAATGCATAGACGTTTGAAAAATGCAGGTATGAATTCCGGGAGAATTATTATGTGTAAGGTTCTGAATGCTGTCTAAGATTTCCTCCCTGGTAATTGGTGAATCCAGAATCTTGTCCGAGAGTTCCCGAACTGGGTTGACATATATTGAGTTATCATATATATTTTTTGTAGAATTTAAATCGCTAATGGTATCGTCAAATGAGAATAAGTTCTTATAATGGTTGGACCACACGTTATTTTGAATATTATTTCGTGCCACATATATTGTGTTTAAGCGTTTAAGCTCATACCCGAACGTTTTGTAGTCATTAGTGCTAGTGCTAGTGCAGTCAATGCGTTTTGGATTACAAGTAACATTATATTTGTTTCTAATGATTTTGCATTGTTCTAATGAATCTTTAGCTTGACAGTTTAGAAATTTATTTAAAGACCCGCATCATTCCTATTTTAACCTTTCACATTCATCGTCAAACCAATTTGTTACATCTTTTCTCATTTTGCCAAATTTTCATTTCATATCGGATGCAGGCAGACAAACAGCCTCTGCAATATATTCAATACTTGTGCCAATACATGTAAATGCATAGTCTATTGATTTATCAAGGAGTTCTGTAACACTGTGAAACAAAATATTTTGTCTAAACTGTTCTTGTTTATGGTGTAGTCGTAATCGGACTCTGCTATAAGTACAGCTTTCTTTTGAGTATGGAAAGGTTGCTGTCACTTTTATTTATCTGATAATACTGATAATAATTGTAAGTGGCTCAGTCATCTAAGCCTCGATTTACTGTGCAGAGCTGCGTGTTCCCTTCTTTTCATTTTCCCTATTGTCCAACATGGTTTCAAGCTCTTTTAAGTAATCGTTTATATGCACATCAGCCAACAAGGCTCATCAGTTCACCGTCTTTGCCAAGTCCTTGATTGTCAAACCTTGGATAGACTTTTGTGACTTTTCAGGTTCACCTATGTCCAATTTGAACGACTTTACAGTTTGAATAAGGACATTTCATTGTCCTATGGATAACTTGAGTTCAAGCACGTCAGTTTCTGACAATGCCCCAAGTAGCTTTTTGTGTGACAATTCCCTTATTTTCCAGAATTTTCACTGTTGCTGGCGACAAGGCTGATATGAACAATATCAAGAATGTTTCTCAGCCATTAGAAAACCTATTTACAATAAAACTAATTCAAGCTCATTCAGTGGCCTTCCCAACTGCAAACATGGTGGTTATGAACATGATGCCACCTACGACACATATATAAATGACTGTGCCCCTTGGAGCATACCCAAAATAGAAATGCTAGTCCAGTAAGATCTACCCTCATTGTAGGCTACACTAAAACGCCTCCGGAGTAATTACCTTCCCTTGACCAGGTTTACAAACAAATAATGTGATTCCTCCCTAAAACCGTCTATTAGAGACATACAACTCGTTTTGACACTAGAACGGATCAGTGAACGACCCCACAGAAGCAGCGGGGGCATGTACCCGTTAAGTTGTCAAGCAGAAGAAAGAGTTCTGTAGAGGTCATTGCTATTACTTCTATGTTCGAAAATATTAGTGCTCTGTCAGACCTAGTCTGACGCTCAAATATAGAAAATATGGAAATTTGGATGCGTTTCACTGGATAGTTTCAAAGGTAAGCTCATGGAAGAAACGTACCCTTAAAGAACTTAAAATGAACTTGGAATAAACGCGAAAAAACGCTTTCCATTTTCATAAGAAATATTTGCTTAAAAGCAGCTTCGATTCCGACTTTAACATGAGCATGTGCCTATGAGTCACTATCAAATAGCGATGATACCATGTGTTCGCGAAAAGATAGGCATATCCTGCCCCACCGGTGCTTCCCATCACAAACACTTGCAAAGACACTGGCAAAGACAAGTTTCCCAAAGCACTTCCTGGGAGATGTCCATTCGCTGTCTGGGCTGCGTGTAGAGGGGGCAGGGGCCCTGAGCTTATGATGAGCCTGGTGAGATGGTGACACGATGGCACACAATCAACCAATATCCGCAGTGCTTGACATCCCACCTACACCACTATATGATATTAAAAGAGGAGAAACTAATTTGTCAAGGTCTGCCTGAACTACATCGTTTGTATTTTATGGAATATAACTTTGCTGGAGAACCAACGAATGAATATGCGGTATTGGCCGATAGCGCTCGAGAAATCACCATATCGAAGTAAAATATTCGAAATGGCCTGAAGGAATCTCGAATAGTGATTTAAAAGTACTAGAGACACGCAAGCAGATATTCGGTGAACACTTTGTAATCAACCTTGGACCCACTAGTTAAAAGGGACAATCATTAACTACAGATTTAATTTCAAAATGGTAAGAGAACATTAGAATATAGATAATTCAATATATTTTAAAAAAGACTTACTTTGACAAAAGACCACCGCAATCAAAAACATGAATACACACAACGCCATCATCCTCCCGCACATACAGAGGGACGCCTGCATAAGAATGTGTATTTTGTAGTGCGCAGTAATAGATGAGAAACAAGACGTTTGTCAGGTCAAGGAATTAAACGGCTCTGCTCAAGTGTCACTGGTGTATCGCTTGCACAGATACGCACCGTGTAGGTTACAGGACATTTTAACTTTCTGATAAGAACATGTAAGACTGACTGATCTGGTATGTAATTCATACGAATGAAGAGATCTGTGAAGATCCGGTTAGGAATAGGTCTTCAGCAAATATGCTTGTCGTAAGAGGCGACTTATCGGATCGGGTGGTCAGGCTCGCACATTTGGTTGATGCATGTCATCGTATCCAAATTGCGTGGATCGATGCTCATGATATCATTCATGTGATTGTCCAGACTAGATAATTTACAGACTGTCGTTATAAAGCTCGAATATGGCTGAGTGTGGGGTTAAACAACAAACAAAGAAACAAACGAATGTAGAATCGTCTTTTGGGCACTTGAAGTCAATGAAGCCCCTTCTGGATGCCCAACGTTACAATGCTGGGATATTGATAAAAGCAGCTTGAAGCCTCAGTCCTCCACAGTGTAAACCCACTTTCATTTACGCTGCATGTACAGTTCCTTAAAGAAGTCGAATGATTTATCCAATTTCACGCGGTGGTTCGACATCTCAGGGATATCATATCATGTATATCTACTGAATAACCCTGGAAATATAATATTGATATGTCATTTCAAAGTTTGTTCACTACATTTCTTTTGATAGTTTTAATTCCGGTGCAAGTTATATTATACTCTTCAGAACAAAAACCGCAAAGCCTGATTTGTGTGAGGTAAGAAAATACATTTATACGAGGAACCGTACAAAGTATTGAGCCAAAATGTTGTGGAGAGAACACTTGGTGATTGTAGTCATCTCATTTATCGGTACATAGGAAAAGTCCAAGTAAAGATCGGCTACCAGCAATAACGCGTATGTCCCCCGTTGGAATTGATAGTGGCCTGACATTTCCTGCCCATGTAAGAGACGAGTATGCGAATCACATCCTGGGGAATGGTAGCCCACTCAGCCGGCAGTGCAAAAGCCAACTGCTGCAACGTCTGGGGTCGTGGTTTACGTCGGCATAACAGTCTATCCAATTCATCCCATAGGTGCTCTATCGGGATCAAATCTGTGGATCTGGAGGACTAGGTGTGAAGATCAACGTTGTTGTTGTGTAGACAGGCTCTTGTGATCCGTGCTGTATGCGGTCGAGCGTTGTCGAGTGATGAGAGATCATAATGCTACCCCAACCAAACCTGTCCACTTCCAATACGCTTTTTCCGGCGTAACGTTCTCCCCGACGTCTGTAGACCCGTGCTCTTCCATCCGTTCAACGGAGGAGAAATCTTGATTTGTCGCCATACCAGACATCTCTCCATCGCAGTTGGGGCCATATCCTGTGTTGACGACATCACTGCATACGTTGTTGACAATGTTGTCGAATGTATATGACACGTCTAACAGGACGTAAACCTGCTGCTCTTAAACGGTTTCGTAGGTCTGGTCGGAGATTCTGCGCAGTCTGGGTATTTTCGCGAAGGTGGCGCAGTCAGTTATAGCGATCTTAGGTGTGGTTGGTTACTCTTGGTCGATCACGTGTTGTCCCCTGCTGTTGAAACCGATCCCATAGCCTTGTGATGGTGCTGGGCGCTCATTGCAAACCCTGGATACAGCTGATCGGGATTCCCCTGCCTGCAAGCGGCCTGTGACGTTGTTTCTTTGTACTTCTGTTAATCTTGGCACGTTATTGAACTGACCCTTTTCGATTGACGCAGATGCCAGGCAATCAAAAACCCTGCACTTTAATACCATACATGGTGCTGCTGCACGTGCATTACGTGCAGCTCCAAAGCCCTTTTGCTAATGCACTGGGTGCGTTTTTCCGAATCGTGGTCCAACAAATTGTTTGCATGTCCTTGCTGTGATCATTTTGATCCGAGAATTTTTCCCGGACACCATAACACATTAAACCTCTTCATTTTTGCACCACTTGGTCCGCTAATTTTGCTTTTATGGCCAAAAATATCGGTATTGCGTTTCTTTTTCTGAAGAGTATATTTGTATACTTGTGTATCACGAGTGATCACAAGTGATGACAATGTTATGATACACTGGTAGGTCAAATATAGGTAGGTTATATATTTTCGTTGCCACGTTGAATTCAATCTGGGGACATTTGGTTTACATGTTGGATTGTAACTGATAATGCACGTTAAATTCACTCTCGGGGTCATGCACTGACCACTGTTCAATGTAGTAAGATGAAATGTCGTAGATATGATACTTAAGATGGGGCTTGGACATGGTAAGGTTTAGAGCAGCCACCTAAGATACACCTCGGATATTACTGACTGTGGCGTTATACAACAATCACCCACTTCCTCGGAACGCTAGGAAGGGTGGTGTGAGGAAGACTTGCTTATTTTGTCATGCCATTATTCAACTGTACGTCAATCATGTCAATCCCCGTTCAGACATTAAAGCCTCAGATGCATACCGTGAACAGGTAAAACAACATATTCAAAACCCACTTACTCAGTGAGTCGATGACTGGCCGTTGGAATCACAAAAGTCAACATCTATGTGTTATGACGAAAAATCAATCATGAACTATATTTTGTCCCACATATCGCTATAACTATTCTGCACACCAAATACATAAGTGTACACATTTTTAATTATCTGCTTTCTTTTTTATAACAGTGATATGAGCACATCATCCATTGAGCCAAATCTACTGTTCCAACACCATATGGTATACGTTATTCAATTACGAATACACAAAGCTTTCCCCTCACCAATCAGTTAACAAATCAGTTGTGTAAAGTAGAAAGAAATGCACCACGGTGTATTCCTTTCTTATCAGTTGTTTTTCATACCAAATGAAGGATAGTTTTTGATCAGGGTGAGTAATTCAATGGAATGTGAGTGAGTTAAAATATCGTGACTATCAAAAGTTAAATATAATACATATATTGAAACGTATGTAAAAACCTGTCAACGAGGGACAGTAAAACAACTAGACTTATCACAGCAATAAATTTAAAACTTGTATGTAATCATAAAATCAATAGCACTATACATATACATTACATTTTAAAAACGGGCTATAGATCGCCAGCAACTGAAGGTAGATCACCATACTAGGGACCAAGGTAATTCAATGGAGTTTTCACACAACATTGAATAGTAATTCAGTTATAAAAAAGGATTTGCAACTAGGATGAGAGCAATTGTGTTCTGATGACATTATTGTGGACATTACATGACGTCATAGAGATATATTCACAAAATCTTTATTCATTTGATAAAACTGCTTCGCTGTGACAAGTCAGTAAGATAAACAGGGCCCTGTGACTTTTATGAAAATGGAAAAAACTGGAGGAACGTGCATTAATGGCACAATTCGTTTATTCTAAATATATTCATATCTATTCATTTTCACCGCTGCTTTGCCTTTTGTAGGGCAGGGCCCTGTGACTTTTATGAAAATGGAAAAAACTGGAGGAACGTGCATTAATGGCACAATTCGTTTATTCTAAATATATTCATATCTATTCATTTTCACCGCTACTTTGCCTTTTGTACCTCCGGTAACCGAGGCTAGTTATCCACTGGCACTGACGTTTAATATTGATAATTTACTCAATCTTCATAGATGGCGGTTGGTGTTAAACCCTTTTTCTGCACTTTTACAAGATCATTTTCCAAAAAGAACCCTACGGGTATCTACGGGTATTGGTATCTTTGTCACAAGACAAGAAAACTATTTACATGTATAAAAATGAAACGTATGTTTTGATGAATATGTAATATATTCCTTTTTCTCATTCTGCATTAAAGACTTTTATGTCATAAAATATACATGTATGTCGATATAGGAGCAAATCAAATGTTAAATTTAGCATTACCTTTAGCCTAGAAACGGAAATGTGTATGTAATTTAAAACATAAACATGATATTCTAAGGGGTAATTTTATAAGACTGAATTACTCCGTATCAGACTCATATTGATATTGAGATGAAATTTTGAAAATGTGCGTTGTAACAGTGGTTTAAATGCTGATGCACTCGACAAAAATAGGAATCCACTATTAATGTTATTTTCCACCAACTATATGAACGATCGAATTACCTATTCTTCATTGGAGGTATTTTGTAGCGACAAAAGCCAAATGTACCAAATGGAGTTTTCTTTCGCTTTGTTGAACAATATGTTTCTGAAATAGCAAAATAAGTGAGAGTTATAATACTTAAATAGTTATACATATGCATATGCTTATCAAAGTGCATCATACAATTTGCCTCCCGTCAAGGCCGAAATAAAACTTTCAAAAAAGCTTATAGATAGACATGGAGAGGGCATTTCCAAATGTTACGCATCAGTAACAAAAGCTATGCCCACAACAGTTGCCTCTTTCGATTTGTACCATATATTCTCTCGTTTCGTTCAGGTGAACAATTGACTTGCCTTTTCGAGTGTTTACAACGGATGCCACCGGCAAGGCAGAACACACTCACTTCGCGAACACCTGGTATCGTCACTATTTGATACTGATTCATCTTTGTGATGTAGTCGAAATCGTTAAATTGACAAATGAGATTATGGACACGACATACATATTTAACCTATTAAAACGTGTGCTCACTGAGTATTGCATTAACTGGCGTATTTCGAACCATAAGGATATAAACAAGTTTTGAGTGATGAAAAACTATATTTAAATTACCAACAGAGGCACGGATATATGTGAAAGTAATCAATGCTGAAAGACTACTTTGTACCAGAGGTCCACAGTAACATGAGGTCATTGTCACAAATAATTCAAAATGAGGTTGTGCATTCTTTATGACGTCACAAACTATTATGTCATGTTGTTTCAACAACAACCAAGACTTGCAACTTAAAAAGCTAATTCACCATGAAGAGATACTCCGTAATTCCAAATAGCCCGTAGCGTATCTTATTGATATGAAAATAGTAATCGATATATCAGGCCAGTAACATGAAATACATGTAACATGTAATGCCGTAACTACGTTCAGACTGCCTGCCTGGAATTGCGCTTTTCTGACTCGTAGGATCAGTGAGAAAATACATAATAATCTAATCATGTGAACTGAAAAACTTGACATCCTGACTCACGGCTGTGCCACTCATTGAATATTGATATTGTCTGATCAGTTAAACGTGTTATATGAAAGAAAGAGCAAATTATCCTTTGAGAGTCTCTTTATTCCTCACAGGACACAAAATACATGCAACAGCTCGGCAAGGGCAAGGGCCGATATGTTTCCTCTTCCTCTCCCCGCTTGCTCCCTCACATCAACTCATCCTTTGGACAAGACCATCCCCAGTCAGTTTCGTTCTACAAAAGATAACATATAAGTATGTATATAGTGTTATTTATACTCCAGTGTCACCTTCCTGGTATAGATGGCTACCATGTTGGAAACATTCACATGAATGTGGCGAATGAAAAAGGTAACTTGGAGAGTACCATTGGCTCTAATCTAGCATCGAGATGCAAAGCAGATGAAAGGTGAAAAGTCACACAATTATCTCAAAAGCTAAAAGCCTTATAGGAGTTCCGGGTTTGAACTGGTCCCTAGCAACCATGGGCGAAATAAATGCTTGGATGGTCAGGCTTGGTGACCTGGTTGATTGCGTGCCATCGTACCCTGACCCCGTAGATGGTTAAATTACTAGATTATATATTTTGACGCCGTCAAACATCTGCGTTGACAGTGAAAAAGCAAAGCAACAAAAGGGGATGACAGTATTAGTTAAGATTAGCCTTTACAAAGGTTTGTTTAACGCACACCCGGAGTATAAATGTGTCAAACACTTCTTCAGAGTATTCATGTTCTGTTTCTGTTCTATGTTAAGTTTGCTTTGTCAAGAATGTCCATTCACATGCAGAAATATGTAGCAGTTTACCAATGTATTGAAATAAAAATATAATCGAACATACCAAGTGGTTAATTTTGCATTTGCAACGACTAGATAAATGGCATTGTGTATTCATAGCTTTCGGCCATGGGAGCCGTGCCAATTTACACTTGTCAGGGGGGTACTCAAAGTACGTGATCTAGACTACCAGTTGTCGGACTTTCATTTTTGTGGAAGCCTCGGTGGCTGAGTGGGTTAGATCACTGACTTTGTGTGCTGGCGATTAGGTGCCTTACCCTGGCAGGTGTGGGTTCGAATCCCGGACGGGACTCGACCCAAAAATGTACTAGAATCTGTACTTTACTAAGAAAGTGTTATCCCAAATATAACATTAGTTAGATTCCACTTGGTATATTTATCTTTGAAATCATATAGAGATAGTACAAACAAGAAAGGCTGTTTGGCCCCCCAAGAACTCGGGCTATCGATTGGCTGAAAGAAAAGAAGAATTGTTCTTACAAACAGACATGCTTCCTGCAAACAGCTTACACAGTTTGTTTCGGATGAGTTACGGCTTAGTTTTAATTTGAAGGATTATCTTATCGTATATAGCTAGCTTATTTATTTGAAAATATTTCATAAACACATGCCCTATATACTGTCGTTATTGTACAATTTTTCGCTTTTACTTACCTGTTACAATCAGGTTGACGGATATATCTCTTAATGGACTGGTGTTAATGATACAGTGGTATTGGCCCTGGTCAGTCATGGTCAAGGCCCTTATTTCGAGATTCCATTCGCCAACTGAAGGTCTAATCACGCTTAGTCGCTCGTCATGATACACGCGTCTATCCTGATACGTCAACAAAACAAATTGTCCATCGGTCCAAACAACCTGAAAGGAACCACATGAAAAGATATAGAGAATAAATTAAATCACTATGAACATTTATGCATTGGTGCAGTGTGTATACATACGTACGTGTGGGCGTGTATTGTGTGCGTGTGTGACACACGTGTGTGTTTGTGTATGGGTAAGGATTCTGGCATGCATATTGTTTCACTTCTACGCCTATCAATCCATTGTTTACTATAGTACTGGCAATAACCTTGAACACGTATGCTTACTACTTGGGGGCCGATCATTGGATATGTAAGAGATGTGATGTTTTTCAGAAAAAATAATTATTTCCATGAAATATGCATACTGGACATGAATATCAGTACCCAAATATCTCAAAAAAGTCTTTGTAAATAAAGAAAATAATGTTTGTCTTGAAAAAGTGTCCCCGATAAACACCATGCCAGCCTAGACCCATCTCAACCCCACCCCCAAACTGGTTGTTTTTCCCAACGAAGCTGGTTGTCATAATGTTCGTCAGTTTGATCTTTTCATGGTCAATGTTTTGCTATTTTGGCTTACTCTGTGGCGTCCCAAAGAGTTGAAAGAACAAGGTAGTGTGACAGCGTCGCCTTTCCTTGCAGTCACGGTCTTAGTGGATGACAAGAACTCGGGCTGTCGAGTGGCTGCAAGAAAGATGAATTGTTCTTACAGACATAGAGGCTTCCCTCAAGCAGTTTACATGCAGCGAATTAATGAATGAGTAGTGGCTTATTTGAATGTGATGAAGTATGACTGTACAAAAGTCAAATAGTGCGTACAATACATCTATTACACATTTATTTGGTTTGCATTTCGTTCGAATGTCATTTAAAAATGGACATATAAAGATCTGCAATATTCTTTAGACTACCACGCCGTGATATAACTGGAATACTGTTAAAAGCGGCGTCAAACCCAACTCACTCACTCACTCTTTCGGCTACAATATTTACATAATCTTTCACATTTTGGAATTTCGTGGTGTCTGCAGGTATCAATACTAACCCTTGTTCCAGCAGGAGCAAAAGCAAATGTACACAAGGTCGGATCAATTAATTTATAATATGTTTCTGCTTCTAGGCCTGGCATAAAAAGTGTATAGCATTTATATCTAGTACTAGATTATAAAGTATTAGTCGATTTTTGGCTCTACATATCTTTCAGTCTGGCGTGATAGAGGTTATAAAGACGAATTTTAATCCAACATCAAGTATGGCCAAGATCTCAACTGAAGATTACTTGCCCAATTCTGTCTTCGTACTGATAAGCATAAAACAGAAAAACAACTATCTCCCGGCACAGGGCACATTAGAATTTTATTTGTACATACAGTAAAAGTAGTGAATAATAACTATGCAAAAGAGCACTGTACAGCCGTCAGCAGCGATAGGCACTTGCACCGCTTTTTGTCATCAGAAAAATCATTAAATTGAATTTAATACGGACAAAAGGCACGTTCTCTTGAAAAAAATAACTCATTCTTGATAAGTATCTCTTAGGTAAGCTAACTTTAGTAATTTCTGAGAAAACCTGTCCCTATTGCAGACACTATGCACTAATCACAACAACGAGGATCAAGGGCCGTAAAAAATCATTTACAGGACCAATTTTCGAACACAGCGAATTGCGGCGCCTTAGACGACTGGGCCACCCGTGCCCCCTTTAATTCATGACATGTATTCATATTTCCTTGTGTGTCCAACCTCAACTGAACGAAGTTACGAGTGGGTTCACTTAATGTTTAGTTTTATATAACTACATAGGAGAAACTAGTTTACAAGGACTGTTAAACTACATCTATTGTGTTATATGCAATTTAACGTTGATAAACAACCAACAAAATCAATACGTGGTTTTGGACATAAGGCGCGCGGGAAATCACCGTGGAGTTAAAAAAAATATCTAAAATACCATTACATGGCCTGAAGGAATCTCTCAAATAGAAGTTCAAAATAAGTAACGGCGCCATAAGCAGATATATGCTGGATATTTTGCAATCAATCTTGAACCCATAAGAGGAAGTGGACTATGATTAGTTCGACATATCAACATATTTCAACATATTTTAAAAAACACTTACCATGACACAATGCCACCCCAAGCAAAAACACGAATGCACAGAATGCCGCCATCCTCCCGCATCAACAAAAGGACGCCTACGCATACAGAGGAAGTTAGTATGTCGTTGTTCGATATGGTAGCTGAGAATCAAGATGTGGGTCAGGCAATGGAAATAAGTATTAACCTGCTCTGCTCCGCTGAAATTTCACCGATGTATTTACCGCTGAAATGTCACCGATGTATTTATTAGTATCCAATTACGTTCACGATTGTGAAATGTGCATAGGTCGCGTTTAATACTGTTTGGGAAATATTTCAGTTAACAGAGCTTGTCAGCTTAATGTGGGAGGAAAGTCCAAAATTGATGCTTACAGCTCAGGTCAATTCCAAATGCACTGCCAACTTCGGTAACCGTCTCTCTGTACTGCTCACTACAAACGATTTTGATATTGACTTACAGCTGGACAGTCCTACGGGCATTTCCATAGGGTTGTTAGTGCGGTGTGTTAAAAATCGGGAAATACTACAGAACAGCCCGTAGCTTTGTAGAGCACAGCTACCAAGAATATTACCCGGGGCGAGACTTGGATTGTCGGATCCGGCACGACTTGTCCACGTGCAAATCTTACTGTACTGCTGTGAAGCATCAGGCAACAAACACTTACCTTTTTATGGAACTTGGGAATGGCGGGTGCTACCGGTAGGGTATGCTTACCTTATTTGTGAACACCTAGTGTCCGCAATGAGTTTTGGAGACCCATTCACATAATTTTCACCGCCATTTTGCCATTACCGCCCAATGGAATCTGTTTCGGCAAACAATCGATATGGGTTGTTTACTCGCGTTGTCGTTTGTTTATTATAGTGCTGGTCCACTGATTTACCATGCCAAAGTTTAAAATATATACCCCACTCAGACGCCGACTCCGAGTAGACCAGTCCTTGTTTTGGCCAATTAATGCCATGCATCAGGCAGGGTAACAACAAGTACCATATTTTAACGTCTATTGGTATGTCGCCACCTTCCGCTCTCCCGGTAGAGGCTCTATCCACTAGACCACATGGAGGCTACGCTGTTCCACTACTAGACCAGCAGGACAGAAGGATTATTTAATGTTCATGTTCCAGACCCTTTATCCTTAACTTTGCACCGGCAGTACACCGCAAAAGACACAAAGAATACCTCCCAAGCCGAAGCCTTATTTTTGCACACAATGTCTTTTTTCTGTGTTTTAAGAAGGTTCAATCTGGGAGTGAGTGAGTGAGTGAGTGAGTAAGTATGGTTTTACAGCGCTTTTAGCAATATTCCAGCAATATCACTGCGGGGGACACCAGAAATGGGAATCGAACTCGGATCTTCGGCGTGGCGAGCGAACGCTTTAACCACTAGACTACCTGACCGCCCCGCTCAATCTTGGAAGGCGAAAAGGTCAGCATACATGCCAGGAACTATATTCTTGTGAAATTTTAGATATGTTCTTTTTGACTCAAAACAATTTAGAGCATAGTGCTAAGCAGTCAGATGCTGGTTTAATGTGTGCCTGGACCTTCATACAACTTGGTCATGTGAAATTAATATTGTGAGTGTTAATAATTTTGTGGAGGAAGGGATTTTATTCAAATGTGACAGTGAAACACACACACACGCCAACACACACGCGCACGCACGCACGCACGCACGCACGCACGCACAAGCACGCACAAGCACACCCTTTTTGGCAGAAGACCTTTTTGGGTGCGTTTTGGGTGGTAAATTCATCAGATTTTGTCTACACCTATTGTAAAGGCAGCGTAAAACATCCTCACTCACTCACTCATTTTATTTTTTAGGCCGTTTGAAATTATTCGTCACTTGATACACAACTATACAACTCAATTTACAATGAATCTTTCATTCGATATTCTGATTGAGTGCCCGCATCACTTCGGGCTTTCCGCTCACACCAAACTGATAATACATTGATATGTCTTTTAAAAGTAAGATTTTTATATTACTGTCGACATTGTTAATTCCGATGTTGGTTATATTATTTGGATACTCATGTATCGCAAGTGATGACGATGTTATAGTAAAGTTGTAGGTCAGTAGCACAATATATATTTTTCGTTGCCACACTGAAATTTAACTGGGTACATATTTGATTTATACGCTGGAAAATTATTGAAATACCTGCAACTGATAATATATTTTAAATTCATTCCCAAGGATATGCATATTGTTCACTGTAGTAGGATGAAATTTGAAGTGGTAAGGTTTCCAGCAGCCGTCTTTAAGACACCTCGGATATTACTGGCCGCGGCGTTATACAACATTGCTCAGAACGCTAGGCAGGGGTGGTGTGAGGAAGACTTGTCTATTTTGTCATGCCGTCATTCAACTGTACGTCAGTCATGTCGGTCCTCGTTCAGACATTGCATACCGAGCACAATGAACAAAAAACAGGTACAACAACATCTTCAAAACACTTACGCGAGTTGATGACTGTCCGTTGGAATAAAAAAAAGTCAACCTCTATGTGTTACAATGAATAATCAATCATGAACTGTTTTTAACCTCACATATCGCTATTATTAATATTCTACTTATCCCTTGTTGCTGATCTGATTCTTTTTGCATATGAATCAGAATTTCTGTTCGGATTGGCAAAGTGAAAACATGGTAATATGGCCTAGAATAACGTTGTATCGTTCAATAATTCGCTTCCGCTGATTTCCCCACCTGAACAAGAGACCAGTGAGACCGCTTTATCTGTTTCAATTTAGATGTATGTATAAAGATTCGGGGTGACAAAACACACCAAACTGTAAGATTAGGGGGATTACTTCAACGTTCCAATAGAGAACTTTTCTTTTATGGTGTGCAATATTACTGCAGATGCGGTCATAGGTGTCAACATTTCACAACAAGAATGATGTCCGATGTAATTTACCATTTTGACTTGTACCGCATGTCCTCGTGTTTTTCAGGGTGAACATTTTACTTTCCTTTGCGGGGGCACGGGTGGCCCAGTCGTCTAAGGCGCCGCGATTCGCTGTGCAGAGTTGCGTCCCTTGGGCATGCCAGAAACCTATGATTGTGGGTTCGAATCCCGGTTCGCCCCAATTATGTTTCTAGGTTTGTCAGCACCATACCCGTGCTCGTGGGTTTCACCGAAGTGGTAATCGTCTGAGACCTGCATCACTTCGGGCTTTCCTCCCACATTAAGCTGACACGCCGTGATATGACTGGAATACTGTTAAAAGCGGCGTTAAACCCAACTCACTCACTCACTCACTCACTCACTCACTCACTTTCCTTTGCAAATCTTTGTGGTAGGGCACGCTCACCTTTTCGCGAACACCTGGTGCCATCACTATTTGATAGTGATTCATAAACACATGCTCATGATATTGTCGGAAAGTAGGCTCGGAACTTTAAAACCTTATTCACCATGGACAGATTATCCATAATTCCACAAAGTCCATAGCTTATCATGTTAATCTGAAAGAAAATATCGATATTTGAGGCCATTGGCGCCTAATACATGTAACGTGTAATGCCGCAACCTCTTCAGTCTGCCTGGAATTGTGTTTTTAAGACTCGGACATGTAGGATCAGTGAGAAAATACACAATAATCTAATTATGCGACTTAAAACACTTGGCATCTACACTCTTGACTGCGCCACTCGTGAAAACATTAATATTGTCTGATCAGTTAAACATGTGATATGACAAGAAGATCAAAATAGCTTTCAACTGTCACTTTATTCCTCATAGAGCACAACATACATGCAACTACCGGCAATGGAAAAGGTCGATATGTCCACTTTTCCTCTCTCCTTTTCCTCCTTCATATCAACTTAGTGAAGAAAATCCTTTGGGCAAGACAATTTTTTCAGTCAGTTTCGTACAACAAAACGTAACATATCAGCATGTGTTTTGTGTTATTTATGCACCAGTATGAGCTACCTGATACAGATGGCTGCCGTGCCTCAGACATCTACATCAATGGATCTTACAAAAATGACATCCTCGACGATACAATTGGCTCCAATCTCGCATCCACAAAGTGAAAAACAGAGGAAATCGTGCAAAGTCACACAACAGCGATAATATATTTTAAACATTCATCGTACGAAGCAGCAAAGCATTAAATGTATACGAGAGTTTGTACTGGTTGAAACATGTTAATGAATAGTATCTCTTTCTCTGGATGAATTGATTTTGCATCCGTAAATAGTTTGTAATGTCAATGTGTCCACTCATTTCTAAGTACTGTACATGTACATTCGGATCTTTTATCGGTTGTTTATGTACAGTACCATTGTCTTTTAATTTCATTTCACTGTCGCCAATATAATTAGCGCCACAACCGGCACATTCTGTGACATAAATCACAATTCCACTGTGGCATATTAACCTTAAAAAGTTATACAAGTACCGTCTTCATTTATTTATTACGTCGCTATATGGCTGAAATAATGCTGATGCGACGTTAAATTTTAACGCACTCACTCACTCATTTATTTATTACGTCGCTATATGGCTGAAATAATGCTGATGCGACGTTAAATTTTAACGCACTCACTCACTGATTTATTTATGACGTCGCTATATTGCTGAAATAATGCTGAAGCGACGTTAAATTTTAACGCACTCACTCACTCAATCATATATGTATTACGTCGCTATATGGCTGAAATAATGCTGAAGCGACGTTAAATTTTAACGCAATCACTCACTCATGTGTTTATATAGGGACATGTTCCGCAACTTATACCTCACTTGCTAAAAGTCTTTTCTACTTGAACGGAATTATGATTTGATGGACACAAAGATCTTTCATGATGCTTGATCTGTCTTGTGCTGTGATTAAATTAATCTTTTTTCACAACCTTTCATCTATTTGCTTTGCTCTGGTACTGGAATGTTAGAGCGCAAAACAGGCATCAGATTGTATTGGGATTGTATACTTTATTATTGATTTTCTCTTTAACTTATGGGGTTTTTTTTATTATTATGGGAAAGATTTTGTCGCTTTCACTTACCTGTTACAATCAGGTTTGGGGGCACGGGTGGCCCAGTCGCTGTGCAGAGTTGCGTCCCTTGGGAACGCCAGAAACCTATGATTGTGGGTTCGAATCCCGGTTCGCCCCGATTATGTTTCTAGGTTTGTCAGCACCATACCCGTGCTCGTGAGTTTCACCGAAGTGGTAAACGTCTGAGACCTGCATCACGGGCTTTCCTCCCACATTAAGCTGACACGCCGCGATATAACTGGAATACTGTTAAAAGCGGCGTTAAACCCAACTCACTCACTCACTCACTTCAATCAGGTTTACAGCTATCTGATTGAATGGGCTGGTGTTAATTATACAGTGGTACTGACTGATTCCATTCATCTCTGAAAGGTCTCTCCACACTTCTACGCTGGTCATCAATTATGCTTGTCTCATCAAACGTCAACAAATGAGAAGAACCGGTCCAAACCATCTGAAAAGAATCACAGTATTACAGATATAGAGAATACATTAAACTCAATAACACAACCACGTATGAATTCGTGCAGTGTGCATACATGCGTTTGTGTGGTCGTGTATGTGTGTGTATGTTTTATTTCTCCTCCCATTAATTCGTTGTTTACTATAGTGCTGGCAATAACCTTGACCATGCATGTTTACTACTTGTTACCATCTATTTGATTTGTGAAAGACTGGAATGGGTTTTTTTTAAATTGTTCACAGAAATACTGGTAACGAACAACTTTGCTCGTGGTCTGCATGACTGCAGTAAAATGTTTGGTCTCCGGTCTCTAATAATCATCCAAACCCCTAAACTGGTCGGTCCCATTACCCCATTGCTGACTTTCCCAATGATGTTGATTGGATGTTGTGATGTTCGGCATCAGAATCCGTTCATGTCCACTGTTTTGTTATTTTGGTTTAGCTGGTAATTTCCCTTATCCCTGATAGTGCAAGGTAGTATGGCAGTGTCGCCCCCCTGCACTGGTCAAAGTGGATGACAAGATCTCGGGCCGTCGAAATGCTGCAAGAAAAGGTGAATTATTCTTACAGACATAGAAGCTTCACAACTGAATGAGTTGTGACTTTTTTTAATTTTAAATGTGAAGGATCGAGCGAGTGCATGTACTTCTAGCCGTAATAAGCGATGAATAATCAATCATATGACAGTAGTCTCTTAGTAAAAACGTCAAGCAGAGTAATCGATGTGGCGCGATGACACATAGCCTGTCAAGTAATTATGCTGACGATGTTTTTAGCTATCCTGTTCGTTGTTTAACCAAGCTTCTTCTGTAATCATTAAGAGTATCTAGAATACTGCAAATTTCACGCTTACTTTTAAAACTGTAACGAATTCACAATGCTGCAGCTCAGATTTCATTTCACTACTTCTCCAAACCCTTCACTGACTGCCTCTTAAACAACAGATTGAATTCAATATTCTCTTTCTTGCCCACTATTATCTGCCATTACCTGAAACGTCTGTTCAATGTGCATTCTCTATACGCATGCGCTATACACATTTTGTGTTTGTTTCATGTTGTTTAACGCCGCACCCAGCAATATTCCAGCTATATGACGGCGGTCTGTAAATAATCGAGTCTGGACCAGACAATCCAGTGATTGACAATATGAGCATCGCTTCACGCTATTGGGATACGATGATATCCATCAACCAAGTTAGCGAGCCTGACCAACCGATCCCGTTAGCCGCCTCTAACGACAAGCATAGTCGCCTTTTACGGCAAGCATTGATTGGATCATCACGGGTCCTATGCACATTGAGTAGTAGTAGTAGTAGTAGTTACGGCAAGCATTGATTGGATCATCACGGGTCCTATGCACATTGAGTAGTAGTAGTAGTAGTAGTAGTAGTAGTAGTAGTAGTAGTCAAAACAGTTACCATTTGAGAGTCGAACATTGGACAGCGTTAGTTTTTCCAAATGTTATTGTGAAATGAGTGAATGAATTCAACTGAACGTCTTATAAGCAGCACTGCATCCATGTCCAGATGGTAGCGTGTTAACAGATTTAAATCCCACTGGATTGACATTTTCGGTCGAGCACCTGGCTGTATGTAGTTCTACTCAAAATATTTATTCATATTCCTAATAGCGTTAAAACTTTAATAAACATGCCGTAGGCATGGGAATAATATGTTACGATATCTCCAGTCCTTGAATGTGCACCGTTTCGGTCTTGAACAACCTCAGTAAACAATAATATTTGACCAAGATAATATCTTTTTGACTCAAATAAAGCCAAATTAATATATAGAGCAGTAATGCATGGCTACTGGGACACTCCTAACTGCCTTATCAGTTTATTACACACAAATGTTCCTTCGCATTGTGGCACCTTAGGTTAATAAGAATACAAAAAGAATGACCCAATGGTCTTCATCGTTTTAGATCACTTACACATATTACAACTATTTCAACAGATACCTTCTGGCAGTTAACCATTAGGTGCCTCACTCATTTGATACATTTGACTACTTTCTAAAAGGCACTGTGTATCAGGAAGTAAATCTTATTCGAACACAAAATTACATTCATGAACAATGTCAGATAATAGTTTGGTTTATCAAGTATGAAAACCATATAATTTTGAAGCATTTCAATTGGCAGGTTCAGAGAACATTGCAGAAGACCTGCACCCAAAATAATGCAAAATGCATCTGATACTCTCAAATCCAAAGTGGCTACCCAATTGCATGACCCATTACCAGCTGATGAAAACAGACTGATAATACTAAAAAAGGTTGATGGTTATTGGATGAGCGTTGAGGAGCACTCAACAATCATAGTCTACATGCACTCACAAAATATGACAAAATATGACTACTTGTTTCGAAATTACATTGTTACAAAATACTCTATTCGACACATAGAGCCCGTTAATGACACAAAAATCGAACGGATCGAGGAGACACACCACAGAATACATGGTGTCATTTCTATGTTAAGTTGTCGTCAGAAGAAAGAGTTCTCTCTTCATCAGACTGCAACTCCGTTGTCCTTTGTTCTATGGTCAGAAGAATTAGTGTTCTGGCTTCGCTCCAATCGAGGTTATCTGACGCACATGTACGGGAAGTAGGGAAAGTTCGGAGAAGATTTTGTATGACGTATACTCCTAAAGAGCCCTTAGGGGTACTTGGAAAACCTTTAATCAGATACTGGCCGCCAAAGTACATGACCTAAGACCTAAATCAAAGAAACAATAAGTTACTGGTATCTGATGTTGCTATAGCGTTTGAAAGTAATAGGCTGACCTGTTCAGGAGCAACAGAGTAAATTGTGTCATTTTGAATGAATTAATTCTGAGTTATCTGGAGTCCAGATTTTTTATATGCATTGATCCTAATGTGTTTTTGGACAGAATCGAACGACTTGTTCTTGGGAGACCCTTGATATTTATAACAGCGGGAAAATAATAGATAATAATATTAATGACAATCCGAAAAAAAAAACAATAGGGCTTGTTACTTGACCATTCTGCCTTCAACAAGACTTCAAGCATGAACCACGCCATCGGGGAAAGATGTAATGCAATCAGCCAAGAGCTTGACTACCCGATTCACATTTGATGACTCCTACGATAGGCACGCATTGGTTACTAGCGGTCAATTCAAACCAAATCCACCGGATTCTAGTATTACAAGTCAAGTAGCCACATGTGTAATGTTGACTGTTGAATATTAATTCGTGACATGTATTCATATCTCCTTGTGTGTCCAACCTCAACTGAATTAAGTTACGAATGGGTTTTCTTCCTCTTTAGTTTAAGATAACAATATAAGAGGAGAAATTAAGTTCTCAAGGGCTGCTTTAACTACATATTTTGTGTTATGTGTAATATAACGTTGCTGAACAACCAACAAAATAAATATGTGGTATTTGCAAATAGTGCTCGAGAAATCCCTGTATTGTTCTAAAATATCTCAAATTATTTTATGGCCTAAAGGAATCTCAAATGTTGTGAAACGGAAACACTGAAGGCTGCATCTGCTGGAATATTGCTCGACATGAAGGGAAAGTTGACTCTTGAAAGATGTTGGAGTCATGAAACACGTTCAATGACTTTGGCGTTAAGCAACATTTATCCACTCTCTCAGAACGCTATGAAGGTTGGTGCGAGGAAGACTTACCCATTTTTCTCATGCCTCATTCCGGTGTACGCTATTCAAGTGAGTCGGGTTCGTTCAGTCATTAATGCTTCGGTTGCATACCGAGCACAATTAACAGTTAACAGGTAATACGTTCTACATCCCACTGAAGACAAACGCCATCGCAACATCTTCAAACCATTTAGGCAGTGACCTGATGACTGTCTAAGACAACTATGTGTTGTAATGAAAAAGCGTACAATCAATCTTGAATTTTTAATTCACATGAATCTATTCTTACAATTATTCTGCTCATTAAACACATTCAATAATAAAATAAATATAATACACGCAAATTCATTGTATAATTTCTACATTAACAAAGAAGTTGTAGAGATATTGGGTTGATTATAAGTGTTGCACATTTCAAAACAACAATTAGAATGAAGGGCAAATGATCTGCTCACCCTGTTTAACATTGTTAAAAGCACCACATCCTTTGAGCCAAATACAATTATCCTACACCATATGTTAAACGTTACTCACACATAATGCGTTCCCCGCACCAATCAGCATATAAATCAATTACGTAATCTAGAAAGAAATGACTCATTGCATTAATATTCCTTTTTCATCAATTATATGTTTCGCCAAGAGTTAGTCATTCAAACAAAGTTAAGGATATTTTTGTATCGGAGTTAGTAATTCAATCGAAGTTTCACACAACGATGAATAGTACTTGGGTTATTTATGTAAAGGCTGTGCAGCTCAGCATGAGAGGAAAACTCAAAGTGACCTGGTCCGTAAACGACTATCACTTTGATAATGTGAACGAAGGAAAAAATATAACAATTACGATAAACCAAGGCTCATTCTTGTAACGATTTGGGGATTCGAACCAAGGACTAAATGTTTCTAGCAGGTAAGGAGATCGAAGCTTCACACCAAGTTATGGGTTAGAAGTAAGTTTGTTGTGTGCAGTCATTCGGTTTATCCCTAGCCAATAATACCAACATGAGGGTGAGTTTGACATCCTTGTTGGCAGTTGGGTGAAAAGTCCATCTGATCGCAGAACGTGACGTTACATGTGACGTAGAGACCCTTGTCCTCATCCTCATCCGGCAGATCAAACATGTCAAAGGTGAATCTTATCATCTGGTACCTTGATACCAACATCTTTGTTCTCTCGTCCACTGGACAACTGGAAATACATGGATCCCTTAGTAATAACCATCTAATTCCGCAACCTGTAAGGTAACCATTTTTACAGAGACAAGTTATAAGTAATCAAACAATAATTATCATTGTAATTCTCAGAATACTCGACCGCCTCCGTGGTAGAGCGTCCGCCCGGAGAGCGGAAAGTCCGGGGTTCGATCCCCGGCCGCGTCATACCAAAATACGTTAAACGATGGTACTTCTTGTTACCCCGTCTGGCGCTCGGCATTAAGGGGTTAAAACAAGGAATGGTCGGCTCGGAGTCAGTATACTGTGTCTGAGTGGGGTATTCATGTTAAACTGCGGCATGGTATCTCAGTGAGCTAGCTCTATAAATCGGCATCAGTCCGGACTAGTACAAGCAGCCACACACACACACACACGTGCATGCACGTCGCTATATAAGTGCAATAATCTTGGACGCGACGTTAAACCCAAAATCAACTCACCTCACCTCAGAATACTCCTACATCATTGCCATAAATCCTGTGTTTTCGCTGTCATCATACAATAAAATCTTTCTATTTTATACAGAAGTCCTCTTCACTGTCAAATATCCATTAACAGTTGCACAGGCAACATTGGTGGATGCTCGTGTGGATGCGCATGGCGTGAAACTTCAACAAAACAGCACCCTAGATGCAGATAATTGGAGAGGTGGCCTGGATTACTTGATAAACATGATAAATTTCAAATGAATTATATTTGAATTCTGATCCCACTACCGGTGATTTACATTATGAGCATCGGTCTACGAATTTGAGATTTGATGACATGTATCAACCAAGTCAGCCAGCCACTTACGACAGGCGATTCTAATTTCCATGGGTTAGCCTATGATCTGATTTATCACTTGCTTCACATAACTTCGACCCGGGAGGGTTTGGCGTCTTAGCCGAAGACAATGGGTCGTAACATCCAGCACATTCCAGCATCTGAGGAACAGTCTGTTTGGCCTAGGTATTTTAATGTATATTTTATAGAAGGTTTGGCCTCGGCCAGTTCGTCCGTGAGGAAGTAATATCCTAGACTAAGCTTCTATGCTACAACAAATATGCATGATGTTTCTGTACGTTTTTTCATTACTTATGTCTTTGTACTAATCTGTAATGTTGTATCTGAAATGAGTTAGTGAGTATGGCTTATGACGCTTTTTGGCAATAGTCCAGGACAATCACGACGGGGGACATCAGAAATGGGCTTCATACATTGTACCCATGTGGGGAATCGAACCCGGTCCTTTGTGCCGAGTGAACGCTTTCAACACTCAGCTACCGCACCGTCCCCTACTTGAAATAAAAATGGAAATATGATGTAACTGAAGTAGGAGTGGAGCTGACTAAATATATATGATTGTAGCATGACACAGGAATATCCTTTAACACCAATCCATGTGCTGGATATCTATACCCTGAGTATCTAGTGACGTAAACTGAAGATATAGATTGACTACAATGTGACTATCAAAATGTGCCAGACAATAACTAAATTTTCAGATGCTGACTTCAGCACACAGGAAAATAGTGAGGTTCCCAGTATTGGGTAGCAGGACACTATTGTCTCTTAATGGATAGATGACAGTAAAGATGACTTCTGTTTAAAATCTGAAGATTTTATACTGTGAGTACAGCCAAAATACAGTATTTAGTGCAGTGATTTAATAGAGGTAGTGTTTTCGCAGGAATTATATTAATTAACAGGCACCCATTGCATAAAAGCAATTCAAATTTTAAAATAAATCATCAGCAAAATGTTTACCCATTTTCTATCAAGATGTGAGAGACGGAGTTTCTTGAATCATTCGTCAGGTGGGCATGACATGTGTTGATAATCATGATTGTGTTTTTAGACAGTGGACTTGACACTTGGACAAATATCGGCTGTCCGAGCTGTGCCTTGTGTACACTTTCCACAAAGGGAACCTGGTAGGCTGGATCCTTGAAGAGACTGATGTGTACTGAAGATCCCTCGACCTGCCCGGATACTGTTATGTGATTGGTTGAGTTGTGTTGGGGGTAGATATGAACTGAGTCGATTTCATGCAGCGGGTGAGAACACTCGAGGTCGACTCTCCAAACGACATCCCTTGTAACATTGTCAGGGGATGGCAATGTGTACAACATGTCGTTACTGAATATGACTTTGTCTTGTGCCACCTGCAATTAAGACAATAGTTCACAATGGTTATTATCGTTTTCGTGGGTATTCTAATAGTTCTGTGATAGTTAAAAGTACAACTGTGAAAATATCGAAATAGTTGTACAAAACTGTAGTAGTTTTCCATGTACAAATGTCCTGGCTTGATTCGCATGATGCCTAACACGAAGGCAATTCCTCGATAAAGTAGCGAACTCAGTTGTTAGGGATCTGACTTTGAAAAAAATCTGGCTCCAGATTGGATCATGTTCTGATTACAAACCAAGCGGTAAGTACTAAGTGGAATTTAAAATGAAATAGATAATACGCCCGTTTTTAATTGTATTCATTTTATAATTTTATATTTTGTCTATAATGTTTTATGTATTAATGTCAGCTGTTGGTGTCTCTGGTGTCATGCAGTAGGCAGAGGGACAATTGCAATGAAGCAATCTACACTCTGACATAACATACCAAAAAACACTTATAAATTCTAAGTTAGTACATTTCTGTAACAAAATTTGTATAGTTCTGGTCTATGCCCGCATCCTTTTCAAAAGCCATGTTGGGTTTTGTTTTGTTTTTCTCATTTTTCGGATGTTTTACCAAGGGCAGGAAATTCTAACTTGCCTTCCCCAAAAGCAAAGCATCAACACGCAAGCTCCTCCAAATCGAGCTGCCGTTACACGTGCAAAACTAACACCCCTGCCACCAGTCCCAGGAAATACATTCCAATAAGTTGATATATTGGTCGTTTTTTCCGTCAAACAAGAAACACAAACGGGAGTATATAGGAGCCTGCAGCGTCCACCAAGATAAGCACATATATTGCAAATATAGAAAAAAAAATATAGGACAAAAGATTTTACGACCATTTACAAGCAGAACAGAATGTAACATTCCGTAGTTCTCTTTGCACAGTATTTGCGTTGATACAAAAACGTGATTTGTCATGCATTAACTTATATTTTTATAAATTATGTAATATATATGCAGTTTTTGCGAAAAGGGATGCGTATCTTGCCTACGATGACACTCGTCACAGACACAGACAAAGGCATGTCAATGAATATACAATGACGATTTTACTGTTTTGATGCATACAGTTCTCTACTGCATTGACAGATGCATGGATGAGGGGCTTGGGTGAGATGTTGGCAAGCAATTTTAGAGTCAAAAGACGTGAAATGTATCGTTTTAGAAACTCATGAGGCCTGGAAATTTAAGCGCCTGTTCGGGTATGTTATTAGCTGCAAAGTGGTATTCCACATTCTCAATTTCGGGACTCAAATATCCCTCAATGATCCATCCACAACCGAAAATGCCCACCTTATAGATAGTTTACAGCATAAAATGTAACTGTGCAAGTCTTTTTCCGATGATTGCGTAAGGTGAGCTTGTGTGACGTGTGAATGAAGTTCCTCAAAAGCATAATACTACCATCAACATCTAATGCTCAGCACTACATAAGAATCACAATGTCGAAAAAATATGTAATTTTAGAGCTATGACCTCTTTTGTTGAGAATGGAATCTTTCTCTGTGCTGTGATGTCAAAGGCAAATTTTTGGATAAACTTTTCAATCTAGTATCTACGCTGAGTGACATGTTTGCACTACATGTACACTATATAACGAACACATATCACACAATACACTCTTCAAAAAAAGAAACGCATAGATAGTATGTCGTTCACTGAACCTGACTACACAAAAAATCCGGTATATAAATTGGATTTATGTTATTGGAAAATGTTAGTGGCCTGATATTCGACAAATGGTGCGTCAAAATGCAGCGTTGTCGATTTGCAATGTCTTAAACAGCATTGTTTTCACACTTGTTCAAAAATGGAGAAAAACAGTAAAGAAAAATGCACGTGCAAACTATGGCATTCGTAACTCGTCGTAGTGGGTATAATAAAGCAAGCATAAGCCAATAATCTGTCATTCAATCCTCAACATTTTTCAAGTTCGAAAATGCCGAAACTCAGCGCTGCCGATCGGAACATCGCCATAGGACGTATCCAAAGAGGGGAATCGCAGTCTGCTGTTGCACGCCACTTCAACGTCCACCACAGTACCATCTGCCGCCTTTGGATCCGATACACACATTTCAATTCCACTGCAGACCGTCCGAGAACCGGCCGTCCAAGAGTTACCACCCCTGCACAGGATCGCTACATTCGACTGTTCCACCAATGCCATAGCTACGGAGACTGCAGGACGCATCCCTGGTTTGAGGAGCATATCGGAACAGACTGTCAGGAACCATCTTCGCAAAGCTGGAATCCGACCCAGAAGACCAATTATCGTCCCTGTTTTGCAAAAGATCCATCGACAGCAACGCTTGCGTTGGTGTCATACCTTACAGCCTTGGAATTGAGAAACCGGAGACGAGTGTGGTTTAGCGATGAATCACGATTTCTTCTTCACCAACGAGATGGAAGACAACGTGTTTATCGTCGTCAAAATGAGAGTTTTGCCCCACATGGTCCACGTGAATTCGACAAATTCGGTGGAGGTAGTGTCATGGGTTCAGGGAAATTTGACAGCAAATCACGTCAAATTCTTCAACGACACCTTCTTCCAATCATTGACCGCACACAGCTCGTGTTATGGTACACTACTCCCTTAATACCAACATCAACGTCTTGCTCTGGCCGTCGAGATCTCCATATCTCAACCCAATCGAACATCTCTGGTATGAACTCATCGACGTGTACGTCAACGTCAGAAAACGCCGCAGACACTCCCACAACATGGCAACGCGTTACAAGCAGAATGGCGCAGAATTCCGCAGGACAGGATTCGTACACTTATCAGTGCCGAGGTGATGCAGAGCCGTGATTCCTGTCCGGAGCGGTCACAAGAGATACTGAGAGCCTTTTGGCCTTATGTGACATGACAATGAAAAGTTTTCAGTGCCTTCGTACAACGACAACATGTGACTATCGAGCTCCAAAACTTCATATTTGTATCTCTGATATTTAATTTAATATATCGAATTTATGAGGAACAATAAATTTACTAAAAATCTACCTGTGCGTTTCTTTTTTTGAAGAGTGTTCGCTCAATGTATTCAAACAAAATAATTATCAAATAAATATAGCACGGTATAATTACAAGGATAACTTATTAGGGCGTTAAATAAACAAAAAACACATTTGGTACCAAAGTTTAAAGGGAAAATTAACTCAACATAGCAACTTGAGATGTTAATACTTTAGGGCATGCTTTATCACAAATGCTTGACCAAAATTAGATTTGAAAAATGGATTTGAAAATCGTTCCCAAAACGGATTTTCCGTTACTGGGATTAAAACGGCTCGCGGTGTTTGACGCGCTGCACAATTGCAGCGACTGGGCGGTGCCCACTCTGCCTGCTAGAATCGCTTTAGGGGGCCTTTTCTGTCTGCGCATTCGTATGATTACCGTTTTTGCAACTTACGTCATCTTATATGATTTATTAGTAACATTGAAGACGCCTTCAGTTGTCTACTCAGTGGATTAACCTCTGACAGGCATTCCTTGAGTGGAATAATACCACGGACAGCAGCAGGTTTTTTATGGTACCCAAACAGGGGTTTGGTCCTAAAAAGGTAGTTACTGACAATTCACAATGTCAAAACCAGAGGTCGTTTCACACACATAACAATGTATGTATATCTAGGATGAACAGAAATAGCAACACTTTTAGATTTCTCTTGATTGGCCGCTTCCTGACCGGTGTCTGTTCAGCTGCGAAACATCACAAAAAGTGTATATAATAGATAGAAGCGGAAACCAAGTCGACATATCAGCCAATGAAATTTTTCTCTTTATTTGCCCTTAAATGACTGACTGTCTTAAAATTAAATCTTAATTTTTACGCGAGAGGAAATTTCATAAAAGTTCAGGGATGTCCTAATCCCATGCAAAAGAAATTATCCTACCACGCTCTTTCCACAAGGTGAGCTCGGCATCAAGTTTGATGTTTGGTTAGAGCTACGTGCACTATTTTCAACTTTATTTCTACAACATTCTGCATGTTGTCGGTAGTAGAAACAACATCGATATACATTACATGTCACTATACATATGACATGGATGCCAACTAAAATGTTCATGCAGTTATTTTTATTAAATGATCTATGTCTGTGGCGCATGAAGAACTGTTCGTTTTGAAGGGTAAATTGGCACTGCTGGCAGTGGTCTGACAAGCCCCTTACAGTGATAACTCTAAACTATCACTGGTACCAATCACACTGTACTAGGCGGCTGTCAGTCATAATAGTGAGATGCGAAACGAAACCTTTGCAATGCTGAGTTAGTTTTTTTAAGGGGTGCCAAACTCATGTTAGCTAACGAAGGTGCCATGCTACATTCTTTCAGTGCCTGTCATAAGCTACTGCTTGAGCATACTGAAGGCCATCATTTGTTTGTTGTCCGTGATCCCCTAAATTCTTATTCGACTCAAGACGCTTGACTCACCCCACGTGTGTGTGTGTGTGTGTGTGTGTGTGTGTGTGTGTGTGTGTGTGTGTGTGTTGGTTGTTTTTTATTTGGGGGAGGGGAGTCTGTGACATTGCTCGGATGAACTTTATGAGCAGGTGCCAAAAGACATTTGAATACCAGAGACTAAGTTTTTGCTTCATAGTCTGGTCATTTTGGTCGAAATAAATGGCCAACCTCAAGAAAATTGCAAAAGAATTAATTCATACTTTATGTTATTTGGTGGCATGTCAGCTTTCAGGAAAAAAAGTCTACCACAATCAACTCATGGGAATGACCTTTCTCAAGGTCACAAGATATAGGCCTATATAATTCGTATTTTCGTATTCTTGGATATTTGTAGGAAGGAAGAGATTCAAATTTATTATAGTTTTCTTTCTAATATAACTAAATTAAAGAACAATCTGGGTATACAACTTGTATTTACTTTATAAAAAATATCACAGGGACAATTTAATTCATTATAATAGTTCAAGGTCAAATAGAGGACATATATGAAGAGTGGCCGAGAAGTTAAATGTTGCCATAGATTTTCAAATATTGGAATGAAGTCATATTCATATTATATTCAAATGTAAGATAATCACACTTCATATATAATTTTAAGAACTTAATGTACTAATTGTAGAATAAATCACCTAATTGTGTGTGTGTGTGTGTGTGTGTGTGTGTGTGTGTGTGTGTGTGTGTGTGTGTGTGTGTTGGTTGTTTTTTATTTGGGGGAGGGGAGTCTGTGACATTGCTCGGATGAACTTTATGAGCAGGTGCCAAAAGACATTTGAATACCAGAGACTAAGTTTTTGCTTCATAGTCTGGTCATTTTGGTCGAAATAAATGGCCAACCTCAAGAAAATTGCAAAAGAATTAATTCATACTTTATGTTATTTGGTGGCATGTCAGCTTTCAGGAAAAAAAGTCTACCACAATCAACTCATGGGAATGACCTTTCTCAAGGTCACAAGATATAGGCCTATATAATTCGTATTTTCGTATTCTTGGATATTTGTAGGAAGGAAGAGATTCAAATTTATTATAGTTTTCTTTCTAATATAACTAAATTAAAGAACAATCTGGGTATACAACTTGTATTTACTTTATAAAAAATATCACAGGGACAATTTAATTCATTATAATAGTTCAAGGTCAAATAGAGGACATATATGAAGAGTGGCCGAGAAGTTAAATGTTGCCATAGATTTTCAAATATTGGAATGAAGTCATATTCATATTATATTCAAATGTAAGATAATCACACTTCATATATAATTTTAAGAACTTAATGTACTAATTGTAGAATAAATCACCTAATTGTGTGTGTGTGGGGGGGGGGGGCAAGCCTCCAAGCCTGAAATATTTCCTACTTTATGTTATTTGGATGCAAGTTTTGACGTTTTTAAATAATTCCAAATACAATGATTTTGATAAGTAAAATGTCCTTCAATACAAGTTTTACAATTTCGTACAAGTAATAATATTTTGTCCGTAGAAACGGGTCGTGGCAGAATGTTCCTTTGATTGAGACTCTGCCCGAATTGTGACTCGCGTACAAGGGGAAATGAATATCATATGTTCCAGTATACTTGTTTTAGATTTGAAAGAAAATTATTACCAAACTATTGTCGTATAAGTCCTAACTTTTATTAACTCCGATGCTTATTCACAACTACTGATAGTTGAACACTCATTCGTTTAAGTAAGTATATTGGTTGCATATTTCAGGAGTTATTTTTTTTTTTTTTGTATAATACCGCACTCAGCAGTATTGCAGCTATATGACGGCGGCCAGTAAATAATCGAGTCTGGACCAGACAATCCAGTAATTGACATCATGAGCAGCGATCCACGCAATTGGGATCGATGACATGCATCAACCAAGTCAGCGAGTCTGACCACCCGATCCCGTTAGTAGTCGCCTTTAACGACAAGCACAGTCGCCTTTTACGGCAAGTATATGATACTGTGATGTTGTTGTGCTAGATGTAAATAATATAACGTAGCTGTAGTTTCGAAAGATAATCCAGTAATAAAACACTTACAGAACAATAATCATCTTTAATGTCAATTATATCATGTATGCTATTTCTCATATCACTTTAATACATTGTAATTTGTATGTGTATCATGTTTGGGAGAGGCATTCAGATAAGCAAAAGTTGCTTGTTTGCCAATCCCTCCACTTTATGGAAATAAATATGTTAATATCATAAAGAACTGGAACTTGGTAACGCATGGGTAGTTGGCCGACTATAGTCTATTCTGGTGAAAGGAGCCCCGGCGAAACTCATGTCAGCCGGTTATCTATTACTGTGAGTGAACACAGGCTATACTGACTATAGATTCATTTATTTTAGTGAGAGAATCTATTGAATTTGAGTATAAGTACAAGATAATCATAGACTGTTGCATAGCATAGCAATATGGCAAACGCTCAAGTGAGTGATTGATTATGGTTTTACGCCGTTTTTAGCAATATTCCAGTTATATCAAGGCGGAGGACACCTGAGTGAGTGAGTTGGGTTTAACGCCGCTTTTGACATTATTCCAGTTATATCACGGTGTGGCAGCTTAATGTGGAAGGAAAGCCCAAAGTGATGCAGATCTTAGACGTTTACCTCTTCGGTGAAACCCACGAGCACGGGTATGGTGCTGACAAACCTAGAAACGTAATTGGGGCGAACCGGGATTTGAACCCACAATCATAGGTTTCTGGGGTGCCCAAGGGACGCAACTCTGCACAACGAACCGCGGCGCCTTAGACGATTGGGCCACCTGTGCCCCCGAGAGCAATCTCATTAAAATCAGATCTTAATTCTCGCTACCGCTCAACAGAGATCTGAGGACATCCCATTACGGGTCACGTCAGGACGACCTTTCTCGAATTTTGACCGACCAATGAAATAACTGACAAGAAATCGACATTAGCCAATCAGAAGGCAGCTTTGTCGAGCTTTACAACACTAGTTTCAAACTGGCGACTACGCTTCGAAACATATTTTGACCTATTCTCGATTAAAAAAAATTAAAACTGATAAGAAGAACACTCTGGAATGGCTTATAGATGGCCTAGATTGTATGGATATAATCATGAAACCCGTAACTTTCGTTCGGAATACCCTGTGTCAAATATTCCGTGGTTGCATGATTAGAAAACACATTCCGACTGTCACTTTCATGATCTGGTAAGTGAGTGAGTGAGTGAATATGGTTTTACGCCGCTTTTAGCAATATTCCAGCAATATCACGGCGGGGGACACCAGAAATGGGCTTCACACATTGTACCCATGTCGGGAATCGAACCCGGGTATTCGGCGTGACGAGCGAACGCCTTAACCACTAGGCTACCCGACCGCCCCTGATCTGGTAAGCGACGCTCTGATCGGTCGGATGAAAGGTCGTTCTGACGCGACCCCTAATGGGGTGTCCTCATATCTTTGTTTGGCGGTGGCGAGTACAAAGATTTGATTTTAATGAGATTGCCCCGAGGGACACCAGAAATGGGTTTCACGCATTGCACCCATGTGGAGAATCGAACCCGGGCCTTCGACGAATAAACACACAAGTGCCTCGCTGTATTCCAAACAATCTTTGGGGACAGTATTTGTTCTACTCCTGCTACAAATTTAGTTTCAAGTCAAGAAACGGAGACAGAATCCACTGGCGCTGTTGTCTGAGATCATGCCGTTCCAGAATGGTAGCCGTAATTCTGAAAGAAGAAAAATGTCTTACCACATCGTGTCAAAAGAGAGTAAAGTTGTTTAAATTCCTATATATTTCAAGTAATTACATCTGCATTTGCTGAATTTTCCTGGTTCCGTTTCTCATCAATTTCCCAGACAAAAAAAAAAGTTACAAGATTGTTAAAAGAGTTAATTTTGTGACTTTAAACAGTTAAACAAATGCACTCAAGACGAGAAATGTCAATATCGGGTGTTTTAGAAATAGGTAACTTGTTCCGATATCAATATTGTCAAGATTGGTTGTAAAACGTAATGAATTTAATGAATTGCAAATTACGTACGCATTACGCAAATGATTATACATCATGTCACTCATGGGCTTCCATACATTTTTTATTTTATCAAGGAGGGTCCAAGGTTTTTATTGATTTTACACTTTTCGATATAATTTTCACATAATTATGTTTCTAATAATTGTAACAATGTTGGATGAATTTATAAAAGACAGGAATATGATTATCGGTCGTGTTTAACACACATGTTCTCTTCCGGTGCGGCCGTAGTTACAAAGCAGACGACGCTACACAATTTATGGTTGATGGGCGTGTTAGAAGTATATTGGACTGCTATTATTTTCATCATTATTAATTACATTTTTAAATGAATGTGTATTTGTCAACTTACCATGAAATAATAGGGCTCCGTTATCGTTGTTTTTTTCTGAATATTTTCCAAGGCACCAGCAGGATCATTACGATTCATCTCCCTTTGCGAGCTCTTGTTGATGTACGGCGGCCCGTAGGTGCCATATTCTCCTCGTTGGTTTTTATCTTTTTTGATGCGGGAATTAACCAATTTCCCGAAGGTTGATTTTGGTAGACTTTTTAATACAAACTCAAATACATTCAATTAAATGGAAACAGTCGTAAAATATTCTGTTGCAATTTTCATGAGGTTAAATTACAGAATGACCAGAGTATCAGCATTGAAAAAATCGTGAATGTCAAATCAAAAAAGCTCTGTCGTCGAGTCATTTTAGGCCAAAACAAAAAACAGTAGCGTAATACATATTTGTCCTACTAAGATTGGAACTCACCTGTATTTTAGTGTGACAGAGGTAGTAAGAAACGTTGAATACAAGCAGATGCCCTTGCAGCGTCCCTGTACATGCGTGAGTGGCCATGTAGATGTGGGAGACGTCACTGGGTGGACGGCGCAGCTTACTCAGGTCCATAGTCACCAACCAGTTACTCGGAAGACATTGAACACGTACAGCATCCTTCACTGTGAAATAAACGAGACATTACGGGTGATCATATTGGTATTTTTGAAGAAACTAGTCATCGATTTAGTTACACTTGTGACAATTATAGACACTGATTTTAAAACACACATAAATGGTGTGATAAAATATGTATAATATTCCATTCAAGATTGTTTCCGTGTGATCAAACAAAAATTAAAGAGAGCAGCGATTTTAAAGACGGAAGTGTGTAGGTAAACATAAAAGAAGTGATAATCATGAGGGTAAGAGACTGGATAATAACTCATATAAAAAGTATAGTCAACAAAGACGGAAATGGGTATGTAAAAATTAACATGACATCTTCAGGGGATATTTCATCAGACTGAATAATAACTCCATTTCAGACTCACATTGAACTTCAGATGGAAGTTTATATCCTGCGTTGTAACTGTAGGTTGCACGACTTGCGTACTCGTGTACTCTAACATAAATAGGGAATACACTATTGATGTGATATGGGGTGTTCTTCTGAAGAACTAGACTTCCAACTGAGTAGAGAGTTGATGTGATATTATCCCAGCGTATATTTATATCTACGGATGCTGCTCCCACAACAGATACCATTGGAATAGATGATGTCTCACACACAATTGTACAAACTGGATCTGTACCTTGAGCACTGTCCATGCTTTCAACGACAAACTCCTTTTCGTACGACCTTTGACCCGGAACAAACATTGAAAATCCACCATTCGGATAAAAGTACGTATTTTGTACGACCATGATCGGTTTATCACACGTGATAAGCAAATGTCAATGTCCTTAAACTCCCTCCAGTTTAGTGAGTGCTGGATCACCTTGACATCAGTATGACTGACAGACGTTATTGACATAGACGTATCATTCTGACTGCCCACTAGACGAACCACCGTGTGATTAGCTGGTGACGGAACCCTGGGAACTATGACGGTTGTACTGTAGGCACTGATAGGGGGAACTTGGAGAACAAGATATGTGTATAGCGCAAAGTTTGGATAATAGAAAACAGATCCTGAGAATACAGCCACTGGCGCTGTAGACTGGATGTATGTACCACCAAAATCACAATCCAGTGATGTTTCATATGATTCTTTATGTATTATCTGCAAAGCGTCATTTATGTTTAAGGAAACTGCAAGTATGTTGCCAGTTTTGTACAGGCTTCCATTAAACAATATTGAACAGGATGAGATGAGATCTATCTTGACTAAGGTGTTGTTTTGTGTGGCCACGACTCCAATGTAGGGATTGTTGTAGACCCCAGGGATGATGTATTCTTTCGATAGAGCTACAAGAGGGAGTGCTGTAAAGGCATCACTTGAAGCATAATCTCCACGTCTGTTGAATCCATATATGGATACAGGATTGGTACACAGTATACGTATTCCTTTATTTTCAATGCCGCTCTTTGCATGGAGGTGGGTTGTACCACGAAGTCGTTTTCTCGTCACAGAGTAGGCAGTTATGTTGATAGATATTAGATTCCTTATTCCGTCGTCATAATCTATGGTACAGAGAGAGTCTGATGTAGAAGATACGTAGATGTCGTTTTCCAGATATGAATGTGGGTCAACGTAATAGTTTGCAAAAAATGCAAAGAAAAACTCTTTTCCACTGGTGCCTGCAATATGTGTATCTTCAACTGAAAAATATGACAGAAACATGCGCATGCACTAATGTGTTTATCTCCAGTCAAATCCTGTACTATTGTAGGACTGAGGCTACTTACACTGCTTTTTACCACTATTTCATGAATGTATCTAAGATGATGGCTTCGTCCTGTTTTCTTAAATACGTCCAAGGTTTTCACATCATTTTAGGGTTTCTTCGAGAGGCATTTAGGAGTTGGACTTCAAAGCAAGGATAAGATACATTTATATGGATGAACAAATTAACAATAAGAAGCGTCTATCTACTTATCTTATTTATACTTATTGCTCCTAAAATAAGAAGTTGTTCGTCCATATTCCTTATCCTGCTAAAACAGTGATATACTTTTGAAACAGGGAAATGTTATGCTTCCTACCTGCGTTTGCATATTGGAGACCGTCATAGCAGAGCAACAGACTTGCCACGTGCAACAATGCCATAACTGAATGTAAGGTGTGGGCCTCGTCATACACTGTGAAAGGGCATATGCTTTTGATAAAGATAACAATCCACTTTTATCTCGGCTGTATAAAACCAAAATGAGTTTATGTGCACATCCTAACCTATTTGTTTGTTACAGGTCGCCGCATTTCCACACAGTGTCACCTGATAGGACCCATGGAGCTTTTCAAGCCATGATAACAACGAATTGTCAGTGGTTAAATGTTTCTAATCTATAACATTACAAAGCACCTAAAACCTAATGTAATCTGATCAAATTAACCTCACAAATCCAACTGACAGATCTCATATTAGCCTCGGTTATCAATGGTAAATTATACCAACAAAGCGGACACATATTTATCAAGAGTCGTTCTTTCCACTCGTGAAATAAGCAAACGCATGTTGTGAAAACTCAGTGTGGCCGGATGCAGTTCAGAATCCAGGAAGAGTTTGTTTGTTTGTTTGTTTGTTTGTTTGTTTGTTTGTTTGTTTGTTTCCTTGTTTGGTCTGTCGTTTAACGCCGTACTCAGCAATATTCCAGCTATATGAAAGTGGTCTGTAAATAATCGAGTCAGGACCATACAATCCAGTGATTGACATCATGAACATCGATCCACGCAATTGGAATCGATGACATGCTTTAACCAAGTCAGCGAGCCTGACTCCCCGATCCCGTTAGCCACCTCTTACGACAAGCATAGTTGACCTTTACAGCAAGCATGGGTTGCTGAAGACCTGTTCTACCTCGGACCTTCACGGGTCGAATCGAGGAAGAGAAATCGTCGCCCCTACAAAAACAAGAAAAAAGTATCATAATTAACTGAAGCATGATGAGGAAATGTCGCGTTGTTACGTTTTGTAAAACGTTTCCAAATGAGCAGTAATTTATATAAATGCGGCAATGCGACGCGGTCACGAAAGGAAGCAAGTAAATTTTCACTTTTGCTCTTTAATATCAATTGAATGAATTGATTTAATTGGTTGAATGTGAATTTATTTGATAGTTGAATGCGATCTTGCTCTTAATCTTATGAATACAAACTAAATTAAATTAAACATGGCCTTTGGTTGTATGTAAATATGTCAGTGTTTTTCCGTGGTATTTGCATCAGTATTAGGTCAAATGTGATTTGATGTGTTGAATTTGAAATTGCTCTCAATCTTGTACTTACAAATTGAATACATGTTTGGATTTAATAGTTAAATATTGCTGTGTATACCAGATCCTTTGAATCCCTGTATTTTAATATATGTTTGTACAATGAGTAACAATATGATGACCGGAGATGCTTGAGCGAAGGCAGTTAGTTGCTAGGCATCTGACTTTGAATACAATCTGGCACAAAGATCGGATTATTTTCTGATTAAAAGACAAGCGGAATTTATATTACGCGCGTTTTTAATTATATTCATTATATATTTTAACATGTGTCTACTATGTATGATGTTTTAACGTCAGATGTTGGTATATATCTTGTCGTTGGTGTCATGCAGTAGGCAGAGGGACAATTGCAATGGAACCATGGTTAATCAATATCTACAATCTAACATAACAACCTGGAAAACATTTATTAATCTTACGTCAATTTCTGCTACAATATACGTTTAGGTCGAACAAAATTAGCGTGGTTCTGGTCCATGCCCGCGTCCTTTACAAAAGCTACGTCCGTTTTTATCTTTTCATTTTCCGGATGTTTTACCAAGGGCAAGAAATTCTAACTTGCTTTCCCTAAAAGGAACGCACAAACGCGCAAGCTCCTCCAAAGTGAGCTGTCGTCACTCGTACCAAACTAACATCGTTGCCATCAGTCCCTTTAGACCATTTTCAAACAGAATAGAATGTAAAATTCCGAGGTTTTGTACATGTACTCTTTCCAGAGCATTTACTTTGATAGAAAACGGTATTTGTCATGCATTAAACAATATATATATATATATATATATATATATATATATATATATATATATATATATATATATATATAGTAGAGAGAGAGAGCGAGCGAGCGAGCGAGCGAGGAGAGAGAGAGAGAGAGAGAGAGAGAGAGAGAGAGAGAGAGAGAGAGAGAGAGAGGTTAGTGTGTTCGGGGATGGTAAATATCCTGCATCAGGAATAAACATTGGATTTAGCGAGCCTTGGCGAGCTAAATACATAGTGTTTATTCCTAATACAGGATATTTACAAACCCCAAACACACCAGCGTGATAACCTCTTTATCATATAATGTCATTCTTTCATTCTGTGCTTCAAAATCGCTTTCCCTCTCTCACAAACATTACCGATACATTGCGAGTTTTCCTGGAATGCGCGCATTAATATTTATTACGTCACAGGGTAAGTGATGTGTCAGTCGGACAGTGACAGTAGCCAATATAGTTCCAACTGAAATCTGTTTCTTATACAGTGGCGAAGCAACATATACGCAAAACAACAATTGTTTTTACTTCCCTTTCGCGGCAATCCATCGGTCTGTCCGCTAGAGTAACTGCCCTTTGTCAAAGGGAAGCTACTCTAACCCTAGTCTATGAGACGTCACGGCCACGGTCAGACCTTGTTGACAGTCGGTCTGTCCAGTCATAACGTAAGAAGTGTAGTCAGATGTACACACAGGGACAAAACGAAACAAGGTAACAATTCAAACATACTTCGGCCAAATCCAAATATTTTAATTTGTGGAGAAGGTTTCAAGCCGCAGAGGTCTACAAGCACAGATATGGCTACTGATCACGCTTGGCTAGGCCTCGTGCCCTCGCAAAATTGTTTCGAAATTTATATCTCCAAACTTGCCAAAACTTATAAAACGCCTTAGCTACGTCACAGTTAGACACTGATTTTCAGTATTTTAGACTGTTGTTTTGGTAATGATAGCAATTATCCCTGTAGTTTATCCAGATTCCCGATGGTTAATTCTGACTCGATTGCCGAATGACGAGGGCGAAACCTTTGCAATGCTCAGTTAGTTTTCTTCAGGGGTGCCAAACTTCAGGGGTGTGTTTTGGTTGGTTTTTTTTGGGGGGGGGGGGAGTGGGGGAGGAGAGGGAGTATACAGCCTTTCTCGGATGAACTTTATGAGCAGGTGCCAAAAAAAGCATTTTAATACCAGAGACTAAGATTTTGCTACAGCATTGAAAAAATCCGTAATGTCATACCAAAAATGCCCTGTCGTCGAGTCATTTTAGGCCAAAACAGAAAACAGTAGCGTAATACATATTTGTTCTACTAAGTTTGGAACTCACCTGTATTTTAGTGTGACAGAGGTTGTAAGAAACGTTGAATACAAGCAGATGCCCTTGCAGCGTCCCCGTGCATGCGTGTGTGGCCATGTAGATGTGGGAGACGTCACTGGGTGGACCAAGCAGCCTACTCAGGTCCATAGTCACAAACCAGTTACTCGGAAGACATTGAACACGTACAGCATCCTTCACTGTTAAACAAACGAAACAATACGGGTGATCATATTGGTATCTTTGTCCCAAGACAAGGTCAAACACATCAGCAGAAACTTGACATGGATTTAGTTCAACTTGTGACAATTATAGACACTGATTTTGAAACACACATAAATGGGCTGATAAAATATGTAAAATATTCCATTCAAGATTGTTTACGTGTGATCAAACACAAATTAAAGAGAGCAAAGATTTTAAAGACGGAAATGTGTAGGTAAACATAAAAGAAGTGATAATCATGGGGGTAAGAGACTGGATAATAACTCATATAAAATGTATAGTCAACAAAGACGGAAATGGGAGGTAAACACAAAAGAAGTGATAATCATGGGGGTAAGAGACTGGATAATAACTCTCATAAAATGTATAGTCAACAAAGACGGAAATGGGTATGTAAAAATGAACATATCTTCAGGGGAAATTTCATCAGATTGAATATTAACTCCATTTCAGACTCACATTGAATTTCAAATGAAAGTTGAAATCCTGCGTTGTAACTGTAGGTTGCACGACTTGCGTACTCGTGTACTCTTACATAAATAGGGTATCCACTTTTGATGTGATATTAGGTGTTCTTCTGAAGAACTAGACTTCCAACTGAGTAGAGTGTTGATGTGATATTATCCCAGCGTACATTTATATCAACGGATGCTGCTCCCACAACAGATACATTTTGAACAGATGATGTCTCACAAACAATTGTACCAACTGGATCTGTGTCTTGAGCAGCGTTCATGCTTTTAACGACAAACTCCTTTTCGTACGACCTTTGACCCGGAACAAACATTGAAAATCCACAATAGTGAACAAAGTATGTATTTTGTACGACCATTATCGGTTTATCACACGTGATAAGCAAATTAGCGTCAGGGCTGAAATCAATGTCCTTAAACTCTCTACAGTTTAGTGAGTGCTGGATCACCTTGACATCAGTATGACTGACAGACGTTATGGACACAGACGTATCATTCTGACTGCCCACTAGACGAACCACCGTGTGATTAGCTGGTGATGGAACCCTGGGAACTATGACGGTTGTACTGTAGGCACTGATAGGGGGAACTTGGAGTGCAAGATATGTGCGAATCGCCTTGTTTGGATAATAGAAAACAGATCCTGAGAATACAGCCACTGGTGCAGTTCACTGGATGTATGTACCACCAAAATTACAATCCAGTGATGTTTCAAATGATTCTTTATGTATCATCTGCAAAGCGTCATTTATGTTTATGGAAACTGCAAGTATGTTGCCAGTTTTGTACAGGCTTCCATTAAACAATATTGAACAGGATGAGATGAGATCTATCTTGACTAAGGTGTTGTTTTGTGTGGCCACGACTCCAATGTAGGGATTGTTGTTGACCCCAGGGATGATATATTCTTTCGATAGAGCTGCAAGAGGGAATGCAGTAAAGGCATCACTTGAAGCATAACCTTCATATCTGTTATATCCATATATGGATACAGGATTGGTACACAGTATACGTATTCCTTTATTTTCAATGCCGCTCTTTGCATGGAGGTGGGTTGTACCACTAAGTCGTTTTCTCGTCACAGAGTAGGCAGTTATGTTGAT